AGGTGCCTTACTAGTAGTAACAAGAAGCTACTAGGAACAAGTGCCACGCTAGTTCAACTATAGGTTGGATGCCATCGCTCCTAGGGTTTGTCGGCCATCGCTACGAGTTCCTGCTTGCCGTTCGGACGGCCATCGCGGAGCCGGCGAAACCGCTGCTCGTTCACTGCCGTGCGGTGAAACGCTGCTCGCTACGTGTTCAGGCTTCGCTACTAAGTAGCTTCTGGTGACTTCCTTGCTAATGTAGACTCTTGATTAATAAACCCACCCCATTTGAATTGAAGAACCTGCTTCATATGGGATGGCTTATTGAGCAAGAGGCTACATTACTGGTGTTCAGGTGTTCCATGCCCTTCGGTCTCAATGGACGCTTCCAGAGCTTCGCTCTGTGAGGGTGTCCTTTGGTGACCTGTGCCCTGGATGAATCATCGGAGGGGGACCTGTGGGTCGAGCAACCAGCACTTCCTCCTCTGGTTGACGGGTGGTATGGTTTTTTCCCGAAGACGAGCGAAGAGACGGATGACCATGGATGAGCTACCAGAGGTCATAGGAGGTGAAGCTACCAGAGAGTTCATAGGGCTCCGGTTTGACCCACCGTTGGGTGTGTGACTCGAGGAGGTTGTCGGACGTTGTTCGGCCGGGACGAATGGAGGGTGAGACGAAGGCTGTATGCAGTAGATGAGAGAGAGCCATAGAGAGCGACAGAAGTCTTTGAACATCATGAAGGACGTTTTATAGTGCAAGTGTCCGTCCAACTGCCTGGAATGACGTTTACTAAGTTTACTGTGAGACAGCTGCGAACTGAGATCATGAGGACATATCCTTGCGACCAGCGATTCAACTTCATGGATTTCTTCAAATCCTTCCTGGATTACCCGACCACAGTCGATCCAGGTTCAATTGCTTCCGGAAGGGTGTTGGATGAAGCACTTTGGGCCCTAGACTGTCTCACCCCTTGTCTTTGGTTGCCAGTGCAGAGGACAGGAGGAATTCCTTATTTCGACCTTGTGCGAAATGTGAGAACTTCAAATCAGAATGTCCTTTAAGATCCTTTAAGCCTTTCACTCTTCTATACTCTTCTTCAAGAAAGATGCTTTTCTTGCACCCCTGAGAACGGTAAGTTCCCAGGTGAGTCTCTTCCAGCACAAGCATTCTTTCAACTTTCTTGTGGGTCGCAGTGGTGGTGGTAGTGGTACGTAAGCTTCTTACAAGTTTCGCCTTCCTTGTCTCACTGCTTGGTGGCAGGCTGTGAGCTCTCATGGCGTTGGAAGCTCCGGGTCTTGAGGCTCACCACTCCCCAGCAGCCAACCGCCTGCAGCCTGCGCCCCGTTTTGAGGGCCACACGGCCACAAAGACCAGGTGTGGACATGTCACGAGCCATCACCAGGGGTCTCCAGTGTCCTCATGTAGGTCAGATCCTTGTGGAAGATTGTGTCATCGGTTGGATCGGGTCACTTGAAATCTTTGGTGCACCGAATTGACAACATGAATGATTTGGTGGCTTGCACTTTTCTTGGAGGCATCATCCGCAGAAAGGCCTTGCTTCAGCTGCGGCGAGCAGATGGCACCAGGCGCCCTTTGAATGAAGCGATGGTGAGGACAGCAGCGCAACAGGCGCTTGCCTACCCTGTGTGCCTTTCTTACAGCTCACTCCGAATAGAGAGGCTGATCTGGGACATTATTGGGCCACCGATTTGATTTCCTACCAGAGCTGGTCATGAGAGGGGCTGTCCATTCTTGGCGAGACAATCATTTGTTCCACGAGTGGTGAGATGATATTCACAGTGATATTAACATATTTTATAACTCAGCGTGCTCAGGGGGTTCTCATTGAGTTCACTCATTTGCGGTCGCTTCTGCCAGGTCTGTGTCGAAAGCCAGCTGTCATGTCACTTAGATGTGGCCCTGGAGCAGTTGACCTGGGCTGATCAATTGCAGTTGCTCTTGCGCAGCCATGCGTGCCCCAGCTGGTGGAGATACACCCCCAAAAACACCCAAGACCTTCTGTAGGGCGTGCACTCCGCATCACTTTGCTGCATCTTCAGTTCATGAATCGTCATGAATCATAGGAAGTGATTCGCAGCCAAGTTGCTGCTCTCCACTGTGAGGCTGGTGGCATATCATGGGAGTGGCGTTGGTGCAGCCCTTTTTTGGCTGCCATTTGGTGCAGTGGTCTTGGAGTTTATGCCATTTGGTTGTTGGTACCTTGGCGCTTCAGAATGCCAGCACTTTTCAGCTGGGAATGCCAATCAGAGACTGGAGACCAGGTGGTGCGCCTTTGCCGTGGATGCAGCACAGCCGAACTGCAGCGGAGGTTCTGCTGTCTCCGCGGTGACGTGGCTGATGTCTACGACGTCGGAGGCGCCCAGGGCAAAGATCCCTGGAGCTTCACATCCGCTCATGGGATGCCAACATGAAGTGCCATGGCTGGGCAGGTGAGTGGGTTTGAGTTATCTCTGGAGATACTTGGTTCGTTCTACGTGTTTTGCAGGTACGAATGTTTTGGTTCAGCTTGCTACACTGTGAGGGATCGAGCCGGGCTAGCCCGACAAGTGTATATACGATTGTGTAAGCATTTGGAGATGCAACATCACATTCAACATCACCAAACATCGTGAATTTATCCCTTAGTATCCTGGCAAGCGCCACCAAACAGTGTGTCTAGAGGTCTAGGGTCTGGAGGTGTAGAAGCAGAAGGTCTTAGAGTCTAGAGATTCGATCTAGACGCCTAGAGGTCAATTTTACAGTAGGTCTTGAGGAGGTCGGGGTCTTAAGAGATCTACAGGTCTAAAGGCCTAGTAGAAATCAGAGGCGTTGAGAACACTACATCTAGAGGCCTAGAAAGCCAGGTCCAGAGTTTGAGAGGTAAAGATCCAGAAGTCTAGAAAACACACATTTAAGAGCACATGGCATATATGAAAGCACGAAATGCACTTCGAAGGTGTCGAGGTGAGTGAATGTACTGTAACTAGCAGCGAATTAGCACCACCGACTAGACACCCGGCCTAGAAACCGTAAGACCCCCCTACTGTAGTGTGGCCACGCTACCCATCCACTCCCATCTCCTTGGCCCAGGACACCCGGCCCGGCAGAAGCGCGTTTGAGCTCTTTGGCCAGCGGCGGGACAGGTCGCGTCGGATCTCGTTGCGCGGCTTCCGCGTGCTGCGACAGACGCTGCGTCGAGGTGAGGAGGGCTGAGATGGGCAGAGGATTGAGCCATGAGACTTCACCGGAGGATGCAGAGTTTGGGGCCCACAAATCCACCCAGCGAATCTCTTCGAAAGTGGGGACCAACGGAGATGATCAGCTCAAAAAATGTGCCCAAACTGTGGATCTCAGCTTGGCGAACTCTGGGCTCTTCAGCTTGCCTGGCATTCCAGGTGCGCGTGCAGCATTGTCCATGAGAGACGTATATCCAGCTTGTGGTGGTGCCGCGCTGCAAGTCTATGAGACAAAAATTGAACTAGCCGCCTAGCCGCTGCAAGCCATGCCATGAGAAATCCGATCATTGTTGGGAATGCTGAAAGTCACAGTTGCATCGCAGCAGCCAGGACAATTGCCAGACTCAAGGTAGCTGGTTGACTAGCAACATTGCTCGCAGCCCGATTCTATGTTGTTGCGCGTTTCTTCTCACCAGCTGGAAGGTGAGAAATGTCACTTTGCCGCAAAACCATTGTGGGATTTGATTAGAGCTTATATAGTTATTATTATTGTTGTTCTGTAGCCTCTTTGCGGCTCGGCCATGGCGGAACCGACTTTCAGCCCTGCACATCGTCACATAGATCAGGACAGATGCAAGCCTGGTGAGAGCCTAGTGAGCCAATGGCACACCATGTTAGGTCGAACCCGAGGAAGTCATGGACTGCAAGCGGCTTTTATGAGTTGACTTAGTGAGACTCAGACTTAGTGTGCGTGTGTTTGCCCTGGCATGGATACCTTCCGAGGAGAACTTTGGCTTCAAGGAAGCTTTTTGGCTTACGCACCGGCCTGCCTGACCATGCGCTTCATGCTTCTAGACTTCAAACATCTTGAGACAGCCTTTCCCCAGACAGAGGTGGGACACACAGCTTAGCCTGGTATGTGCCAATGAAACAACCTTTGTTTAGCCAAGGCAGTTTGCAGAAGAGTCAGAAGAGCCCCCGCCCATGAGGTGGCCGGAGTGCCTCAGTGCACTGCAGCGGAAGCACTAAGACTAAGACTCTGACTAAGCGGGAACGCAAAAATCAACAAAGTCAAAAAGTAAATAGTAAATACCCCTCAATGTGAAACAGTGCAGAAACATGTGGCATGTGTTACGATTTCTTTTGTGCCGAAGAGGGTCCCCAGTTTCGCTCCGTATTGAGGCGTAAGCTTCTATTGAGGCCCTCTCTTGGAAGTCAAGGCGTGAGAAATCAGGGGCCATGGCATTGCTGCTGTAGAGCAAGGGGCCATGGCATGTGATGAAGGTGGTCATGGGTGTTCTAACTAGTGGCAGACTGCTTGAAGCAAGGGTAGTCAAAATGCAAGAACCAAGGCGAGCATGTTGATAGGATGCCGTTTCTTTGACACAGAAGAAGCTTTCAGAACATGTGAGAAAGTGGATGATTCCGTTTGAGTCAGGTCCCGCTGATGCGCTCAAAGTGGGGAAATCCCGCCCATGCGACCCGGGCATTGCGAGAGATGGACTCCAAAGCCCTTGTGGCGTTGGATGAGATGTGGGAAGCCAAGGCGGTTCCTTAGATAGTCCTTCTTCAGACATAACCGGACTCAACCATGTTTGCCGAAATTTTTGTGGAGAACTCTTGGATGGGAGGTGGAGGTCAATGTGTTCCATGTCAGTGCAGCTGTGGCCGCCTGCCGAAAGGAGTGCCATTCCGAGGGGGTACTTTTGAGGAAAGGAGTGTCCCATGTTTTTCACTCAGTGTAGCTTAACATGGGCGATGCGCAATTTTCAATTATGGCGATGGGAAAAACATGTCCGGTGATTGGAATAGGACCTCGGGCCTTTTGGATTTTTGTTGGGTTCTTTGCTGATCAGACAGCTATGTTGCGATAATTAATGGACATACCACTTGGGAACAGTAATTATTCTTTCCGTGATTTCTTCTGGATCAGACTGGCAGGACTCAGCTTGGCAGGGGGGCTCTCGACATGTTGGAGAGCTGCGGACGGCAGGGCCTGCGACTTGATGTGGTGACCTTCAACTCCCTGCTCCAGGCCCTCCGCGCCTCTGCCACCTGGCAACGCCTGGCAACGCCCAACGGTGCCAGACAATGCCCAAGTTGTAACGATCTGTGGAGAACCATCTTTCTGTGCATTTGAGGCGAAAGGCTCATGGAAAGCGGTGCTTCAGATACTCTTCTCCATGCCAGGCAAGGAACTCCGTGTCAGCGAGGTCATCGTGGTTCTTAATGTTAGTTTGTTTCAGATGTCCAATCAACCAAGATCTCCACTATTGACTTCACTATTGACTCCTGTTTCGTACAATCAGATGTCCATTTTCAATAGTGCTGTATGAGCTCCTCTCTTGACTCGAAGGCCGAGCTTTGCTGCCCACGGACAAGACTAGAAGTACGGCCATCGGCGCATGTGCGTCTCTGTGGCAGGACTGCAGGGGTAGACAGGTTGCAGCAATCCCCATTTTTTTTTCACAGGCACGTAGCGCGAAGAGGCATGGAAACACATTGGAAGACGCTGGACCAGAACTTACCAGAACTAGCTGAGATCTGGTCTATTCGGTTTTTTCTTGCCCCAATCTCTTCCAAGTCCATCTGAGAGCTTGAACATCCAGCTTCAAGTTTGTCACAAAGAAGGAGAGCACGGCGCTCGCGGGAAGTTGCAACCAAAGCAAGGCCAGGCGCATTCGCCGCATTCGTAGAGCCTAGGAGTGACAAGGATGGCCCGAGCGCTTTTCAGGCCCTCATGGTCATCATTTTCTTGACATCCTGACAAGTGATTGACGTGCACTTTGCGTGCCAGGTGGCATGCAACACCCTCATCACTTCTTGCGGGCGTGCCTTCCAGTGGCGAAGATCATTACAAGTGGTGTATGAGATGGTTCGAATGCAGCCAGCCGCTTGGCATCGCAATGCATCGCAGAAGCAGATGAGCCTGCTTTTGTTCTCAGTGGACTTGCTCTGTGAGCTTCAGCTTGCGCAGCTTGCACTTGGAATTGAACTTCTTCACTCCATGATGTTCAGATCAGGACTTGGTGACAGTGGATGCAGTAGTCACGAGCTGCACCACTGGCTCTCACTGGGGAAGAGCTTTGCAGCTTCCAGAGGTCGGGGCTTCCAGAGGTACTGGCAACGCATAGCTACGCCATGCAAGAAACATGTTGGTTTACTCGCGACGCAGTGCACAGAGAGAGAGAGAGAGAGCATGCAGGCACACAACACACGCCCAAGACATGCTTTGTCCCGCTTTTTCTGGCTTAGTCCATTTCACACGAAGATAAACAATCTGGAGCCCCAAAAACGACATCTCAGGCGCTTTGCCAGCAACCGGACGTCGTGCTGTACAGCCAGGAGCTTTGTTTTTCGCGCGAGGATTCCGATTCCCAGACCTTTGCGAAGCTGAGGCTCTTTGATGGTGGCCTGTGCTGAAGGTGCTTTGTGGGAGGAAGCCCTGGAAATCCTTGGAGAGATGGTTCGCAGGCAGCTCCTCGATCGCAAAGAGCCGCGGTATTGCGGTGAAGCAACCCTTCCGTGGCCCAAGCAACAGGAGATAACATGAACATTCAAATGGCCAAGCAGTTCATGCTGGAAGAAGCATCGACACGGATCGCTCACCCAGCTGGAAGAGGAAAAGGATGGAAAAGGGTCCAGAGAACAAAGCTTGCTGTCCAAACCCAGAAGCACTCTCCATAATGTAGACTCTTGATCAATAAACCCTCCATATATGAAGAGGATTTCCAATTGGGAGGGTTTACTAATCACCTCCAAGGTCTTCACCGGACCTCTTCAGCTTCAGTGCGGCGATTCATGCGTGCAACGCTGCTGAGCAATGGGAGATGGGGCTGGCCATTTTTGATGAGTTGACTCAGGAGTTTGACTCAGATGTGCTTACTAAATGCAATGGCCTTGAGGAAAAGGTCTACAAGTCGGGCAAAATTTGTTTGTGTTTTCATCTAAGTTGTTTAAATCAACAACATCTGCCGAGAGGGAGAAGCATTTGGTTTTGTCCATAGATTGGAGGAGATGAAGCCCAACGTGGTGGCCTTTAGCGCGGCCATGACAGCTTTGGCACGAGGGAGTCATTGGCAACGCGTTTTGGACCGGAGCCTCAGGGTATCTCAGGGTCATCCAGTGTCCTTGCTCCGTTCGTAGCGATGCCCTTTGCTCATCCAGTGTTCCAAGAGGGTCCATAGGGAGGCACCCAAGGGAGACATGGACACTCAAGGTGGAGTTGCACAGGGCCTTAGGGTGCGCAGCACCCTTCGGAATGACCGACTTGGAAAAAAAGACCGCAGGGTGTCGAACAAGTGATGTCTAATGATGGAGATTCCTTGACAAGAATCTAGATGTTATGTCTAACATGATTAATCACATGATTATAAGGTTCCTTATCTAATGTCTACTAGATGTCTGTCATGTTTAGTTACATCTACACTCCCCGGAACTAACATGGAAGTGGAGAATGGCCCTTGGAAGACCATTTTCCACTACAAACAGGTGGTTTTCCACTTCCATGTTAGTGTAATTCCTGCATTTGGCTTAAGGACCTGCTGCTCACCATGCGATTCATGCGTGAAGTACCCAATGCTCCCTCCTCAGCATCGTATGGCCAGAGAGTGCTGACCGAATCACTTGGTTGTTGGGTGGACTGCCAGGCGATTTGCCCTGACCTCCTTACCAAACAAGCTTGCATCGTATGGAAAAACCCGAATGAAGCCCACTTTCTGCGAAGTGCTGCTCACTTGAGGTTCCATGGATTCAGCAACTCTTCACAAGACAGACAAGACAAGACTGAAGACCCCTGTCACTCACAACTCTCGCAACTCGCAATTCGCTTCCGAGAGCCCCAACTCTGAAGATCTTGAAGCCACTCGGGAAGTCAAGTCACTCGGGTGAGCGAAGGCGTCTTATCTGTGCAGGAAGTCACTCTTCTGGCGGCCTTGGATGCATGTGGACGAGGTCCTGAGCTGGGTCGATCGCGATCTCGCCGCTCGACGGTCGCGACACTGGGACCTTCAGAACGGTGTAGGGGTCCGAATCTGGACGCTTCGTCTCAGCTGTAAGACGAACGCAGAATTCTATAGCGAATGGTTTTGGTCGAGGTTCTGGCCTGCTGGGGGAACAAGGCACAACCCGACTTTCCAGTCTCGTTGCCCCTCGGGGATGGTTTTTCGGATGTTTGGTTAGCCTGGGGAGATCGTCCGCAAGGGCATGCGTCGGAAGCCAGTTGACCAGGATCATGGAATCTTGCAGAAGAGTGCTAGTTCTTGGAAAGCGGTTGATGGGACGTCTAATTTGAAAACGAATGCAGCCGACACAA